CTCATCCATCCTCCCTGCCCCCCACATCTGAGGTTTGTCAGTCTGAACCATATTCCTTTCTATATCTTTGGGTCTATTTTGTTCATCAGCCCACCTTGGTCATTATATTTCACAAATAAGTGAGATCGTATGATATTTGTCTTTCTCTGATTGGCTTATTTTGCTTAGCATAATACTCTTGAGGTCCCTCTGTGTCGTCTCAAAGGATAAGAGATCTTTCTTTATTACAGCTGCACAGTATTCCATTGTATATATATGTATCACAGCTTTTTTATCCACTCATCTATTGATGGACACTTGGGCTGTTTCCAGATCTTAGCAATTGTAAATAGTGTTGCTATGAATATAGGGGTGCATATGTTCTTTCTGATTGGTGTTTCAGGCTTCTTAGGATATATTCCAAGAAGTGGTATCACTAGGTCAAATGGCAGATCAATTTCTAGTTTTTTGAGGAAACAGCATAATGTTTTCCATAGTGGGTGCACCAGTCTGCATTCCCACCAGCAGTGTACTAGAGTCCCCTTTTCTCTACTCCCTTGCCAGCACTTGTTGTTTGATGATTTGTTGATGGCAGCCATTCTGGCACGTGTGAGGTGATACCTCATAGTTGTTTTAATTTTCTGATGATTAGTGACATCGAGCATTTCTCCATATGTCTCTTGGTCATTTGTACGTCCTGCTTGGAGAGGTGTCTCTTTAGGTCCTCTGCCCATTTCTTTTTTTTTTTTTTTTATCCTCACCCGAGGACATTTTTTTTGCATTTTTTTGTTCAGACAGAGCGGGAGGGAGAGAGAGGAAGAGAGAGAGAGAGAAACGTCGATGTGAAGGTACACATCGAGTGGTTGCCACCCGCACGACCAACCAGGGCCGGGAACAAACTGCAACCGAGGTACGTGCCCTTAGCGGGAACTGAACCCGGGTCTCTCTGGACCGCAGGCCGACGCTCTAACCGCTGAGCCAAACTGGCCAGGGCATCTCTGCCCATTTCTTAATTAGATTCTTTGTCTTCCTTTTGTTGAGTTGTATGAGTACTCTATATATTTTGGAAATTAACCCCTTATCTGATGCATCATTGGCAATTATGCTTCTCATACGGTGGGTTCCCTTTCCATTTTAATGGTTGTTTCTTTTGCTGTGCAGAAGCTTTTTAGTTTGATGTAGTCCCATGTGTTCATTTTATTCTTTCTGTTGCCTTAGGTGATGTATCAATGAAAATTCTGCTGTGTATGATGTCTGAAATTTTGTTGCCTACGTTTTCTTCTAGGATTTTTATGGATTCATGATTCACAGTTAAGTATTTTATCCATTTTGAGTTTATTCTTGTGTATGGTGTAAGTTGATGGTCTAGTTTCATTTTTTTTGCATGTAGCTGTCCAATTTTCCCAACACCATTTATTAAAGAGGCTGTCTTTACTCCATTGTATGCTCTTGCCACCTTTGTCAAATATTAATTGAGCATAATGTCTTGGGTCAATACCCGGGTTCTCTGTTCTGTTCCATTGATCTATATGCCTGTTCTTGTGCCAGTACCAGGCTGTTTTGATTACAGTGGCTTTGTAGTATAACCTGATATCCAGTATTGCGATCCCACCTACTTTGTGCTTCTTTTTCAAGATTGCTGTGGCTATTCGTGGTCTTTTCTGGTTCCATGTGAACTTTTGAAGTATTCGTTTTAGTTCTGTGAAATATGTTATTGGTATTTTAATGGGGATTGCATTGAATTTATAGATTGCTTTGGGTAGTATGGACATTTTAATGATGTTAATTCTTCCAATCCATGAACAAGGTATGAGCTTCCACTTTTTTATATCTTCCTCTATTTCTTTGTCCTGTAGTTTTCTGCAAATAGGTCCTTTACTTCTTTGGTTAAGTTTATTCCTAGGTATCTTAATTTTTTTGCCGCAATGGTAAATGGGATTGTTTTTCTAGTTTCTCTTTCTGTGAGTTCATTATTAATGTAAAAGAATGCCATTGAGCCTTGACCAAACGGTTTGGCTCAGTGATTAGAGCCAACTGGAGAATTCCAAGTTTGGTTCCCTAGGAACACGTACTTCAGTTGCAGTTTGTCCCCAGTCCTGGTTGGGGTCATGTGGGTGGCAGCCACTCGATGTGTCTCTCTCATATTGAGGTTTCTCTCTCTCTCTTCTTTCCTCTCTCTCTACCGCTCTATCTGGAGCTGAATGCAAAAATGTCCTCGGGTGAGAATAAAAAAAAAGAATGCTGTCAATTTTTTTATGTTAATTTTGTATTCTGCTACTTTGCCAAATTCATTTATTAAGTCTAGTAGATTTTTGATGGAGTCTTTAGGGTTTTTTATGTACAATATCATGTCATCTGCAAATAATGATAGTTTCACTTTCTCCTTTCCAATTTTGATCCCTTTTATTTTTTATTCATGTCTGATTGCTGTGGCTAAGACTTCCAGTACTATGTTAAATAAAAGTGGCGAAAGTGGGCATCCCTATCTTGATCCTGTTCTTAAGGGAAATGCTTGTAGTTTTTTCCCATTGAGTAAGATGTTGGCTGTAGGTTTTTTCATATATGGCCTTTATTATATTGAGATAGGATCCCTCTATTCCCACATTTTTATCAGAACTGGGTGCTGGATTTTGTTGAATACTTTTTCAGTGTGTATTATATGGGTTTTATCTTTAATTTTGTGTATGTGGTGTATTACATTTATTGATTTGCGAATATTGTACTAGCCTTGCATCCCTGGGATGAATCCCACTTGGTCATGATGAATAATTTTTTTGATATATTGATAGATTTGATTTGCTAATATTTTGTTAAGAATTTTGGCATCTGTGTTTATCAGAGATATTGGCCTATAGTTTTCTTTCTTTGTAGTGTCTTTATCTGGTTTTGGAATTAGGATTATGCTGGCCTCATAAAATGAGTTTGGAAGTGTTCTGTCCTCTTGGATTTTTTTGGAATAGTTTGAGGAGAATGGGTATTAGATCTTCTTTGAATAGAACCCACTCTTTGAATTGTTTTTTTTTGGTCTCTATGTCATTTATTTCTGCTCTGATCTTGACTATTTCCTTCCTTCTACTTGCTCTGGGGTTTTCTTTTTGTTTGCTTTCTAGTTCTTTAAGTTGTGAGGTTAGATAGTCAATTAGAAATTGTTCTTGTTTCTTGAGGTAGGCCTGTAGTGCTATGAACTTTTCTCTCAGGATGCTTTCACTGTGTCCCATAGATTTTGTGTTGTTGTGTGTTCATTTTCATTGGTTTCCAAGAAGGTTTTAATTTCTACCTTGATCTCCTTGGTAACACATTCATTTTTTAATAACATGCTATTTAGCTTTCATGTGTTCAAATGTCTTTGCATGTTTTTGTTGTAATTGGTTTCTAGTTTCATGCTATTGTGATCCAAGGGAGAATGCATTTTGATGGACAGCTAAAGTTCTCTGCAGCAGTGAGTTAGTCATTCAGATAGGGTTTTTCAAATGTCTGTTGAACATTTACCATACACCAAGTGCTTTACCAAGGGCTGGACTGAGATTTGATTAATAGCATATTGGCCTGGAAGAAGCTCCACACCTGAAGGAGGAGATAGGATATAGTACAAAGTGCCTCCATCTTGGGAGAAAACAATAAAGTGAAAGTGCTCTGGAATTTGAGTGAATAATTCTAGATTTGGAGACTGCCTTGAGATGACTGCAAGTGAACTCCATTTTCAGAGATAAATAAGATATAGTTACTGGAGGAAGTAGGCAGCAACAACGATAGAAACAGGTCATTTATGGACAAGATATAAGGAGGCTTGATCGTGTTTTCCAAATATTTAAAGGGAGAAGATACTTGCTTATATTAAGTGAAAATGTGACGAGGAATATAGGATTATCCCATTAAAAAATCTATATAAATTTAGATGAAATTATACAAATGTGTTGAGTTTTAATTTAAAAAATGTTTTATTCATATAACCACAAGGATATCACAAATATCCTTTGGGTTTTTTTTAATCCTCACCTGAGGACATTTTTGGAAGGCAGCTATGCTGACCACTATACCACCAATGTTCCACCTGAGGACATTTTTGCATTTATCTTCAGATAGAGTGGGAGGGAGAAAGGGGGAAGAGAGAGAGCGAAACATCGATGTGAGAGAGAGACACATCAACTGGTCACCACCCACACGACCCCAACCGGGGCCGGGGACAAACTGCAACCGAGGAAGGTGCCCTTAGTGGGAACTGAACTTGGGTCTCTTGGTCCGTGGGCCAAATCGAGCAGGGTATCCTTTGGTTTTATATAATAATTTCTAAAAATAAAACCAGACACATAAAACTGTGATGTAGAAAAATTATTCCCAATACTTTTCCTATTTTCTGTCCTGGAACCTAGGGCCTGACTCAGGTGTTCTATAGTACTCCCTGAAAATATTGTATTTGGGATTTAGTCTATTTTTTTCACAGTGAAAAATGCCAAGATAATGATTTCCACTGTAATTCACTCCCCAGTGAATTACTCCCCAGATTTACTCCCCAGATAGTAAATCTTATGAAATATATTTTGGTCTAACTGCAAGCCTGGGAAGATGTCTCAGTTTGATGTTGGCTTCTAGTGCAGACAGAACAGAGTCCTGCAGCACTGGTGCCATTTCTCATTTGGCCATCAGAGGGCAGTGCGTGGCTATTCATGACAATACACTTTCTCCAAGGTTTCTTTAGTAGTTAACCTTCTTCAGAATGTTTTATAACTTTAGAGAATTTCTTAATGGAATGTTTATTTGCTTTTCTACTTTGATTTTGCTTGGAAGACAATGAAAATCCACAGAAAGTACCACATATGAGGTGATCCACTGACAGGAAGATGTTCCTTATGACACATACATACATGTAAAATTATGTGTCCAACCCTCATCTGTGTCTATCTCCGTCCCTTCCCCTCTCCCTCCATCTATCTATAAACATCTTTCTTTGTAAAATATCTTTTGACCTTAGATGTAATGTATTAGAGGTATTTGTGACTCATGTTGCCTCTTCTTTATGATAGGAATCTTTGGGTAACAAGTGGTCTGCTCTTAAGATCTTGGAAATGTCAATGAAACCCTGGGAGATTTGATGAACGTGATGAGCAGAAGATCTCAGCAGAAGTCTTTTAAAGTGGGAGATCTGTACAGCACAGTCAAGGTTGGGTCCACACTGTCTACTATCTTTAGAGCACTGAGGCTAGTTCCCCCTGGAGAACTTTGCTAAAATGCTCTATATCCTAAAAGAGCATCAGGTCAGAATAGTAAATGGATGTGATTATTGTGGGAGAGATTATGGTTTTAATTACTTGACATTTGCCTATAAACGTTCTCTGCTCTGCATGATATTGTAATTATTGCTCGGCTATCTGAGAGCAGAGTTCACTAGCTAGTACCTGGCAATGAAGACCTGTCACATACTACTGAATGAATAAAACTTGGGATGCAAGATTACAAGTTTAAGAATATGTTTGAGCCTGGCCGGTGTGGCTTATTGGATTGAGCATTGTCCCATGCACTGAGAGGTCCCAGTTCCATTCCTGGTCAGGGCACATGCCTTGGTTGCGGGCTTGATCCCCAGTGGGGGCGGGGGGTGCAGGAGGCAGCCAATCAATGTTTCTCTCTCACATCGATGTTTCTATCTCTTTCTCCCTTTCTCTCTCTCTCTAAAAAATCAATAAAAACATATTTAAAAAAAGAATATGTTTGAAATTGGGACTTTCCTGAGCAGTTCAGATATGAACAGGCTCATATTACTAAGCTGCTTTGTCTCCTGCCAGGTTCTTTACAGTTATTGGTTTTCCCATAATACCCTTCAGCCAGCTGATGCCGAGGGAGCTCCACATCCAGGATCACAAGATGACGAGGGAAGGCCCAGAATCCAGATTCAAATCTGGGGACTCCCCTAGGGCTTTCCCAAGGAGTGTCCCACAGCTCCACTCCCAAAGGAACCTGGACCTCCACTTCTCTCACCAGCTACATGGGAGAGTAGATAGACACTCTTCACATATAGGGTGTCCCCCCCAAATGTATACACACTTTGAATAATTATAAAGTCAGTGTTTATTAACATACATTTTATTTTAAAAATGTAATAGAATCTACAGATATTGTTTAATTGTTTTGTCAGCACTTGTTTTCAAACTGATGTCCTTTCTGGTCCAGACACTACTGATAATGCAAAGCAATGGAATAGCAAACATCAAGAATCATTTCTTTCAGTATTTGTGCATGTTCTCTTTCAATAGCTGCCCTCAGTTCTTCAACTGTTGCCAGTTTTGTACTGTAAACTTGTCTTTTATGTATCCCCGTAAAAAGTCTAGTGGATAAGTTTTCTTTGTTCAAAGTTTAGTCTGGCTTAACCCATTATTTCAAACCATTTAAACCTGAAAAGAAGTGAGATCTAACTGAGTTATCCTCTGTTAAAATGTGTATACATTTATGGGGGACACCCTGTATTTGTAGGAATATTAGGGAAAAAATGTTCTCACTTCACATCAGACTATGAGCATCTTTGCATTTTGCTGTTTTTATTGTTTTAACTAAGTACCCCAGGTATCCTGTGTAGCAGTCAGCTTGACTGTCCTTATGAACATTCTCCAAGTCCTTACATGTCATCATACTATTGGATGTTGTATACACAGAAAGGGAGAGGATGGGATTAAGCTATTCTATATGTTTCTCTGCAACTTGTCCTCTCACAGAACATATCACTATGACCTGTCAGGTCAGGAGCTGTGGCTTCATTTGTATTCATAATATTCCATAAGGGAGGCCATTTGCCACAGCGGTGCAGAGTTTCAGTGCTGTTAGACCTTGACATAATTAAATTTTGTTGCCATTTTAATAGTGCTGCTGGGAACCCAAAAGTATGTCCTAATGGAGTGTGTTACTTTGTTTGGGCTGCCATAACTGTATCAGATTGGGTGGTGTTAACAGCAGATAATTATTTTCTCACAATTCCAAAGGTTAGAGATTTGAGATGAGGGTATTGGGAGGGTTGGTTACTCCTAAGAATTTTCTCCTTGGCTTGTGGGTGGCCCTCTTCTATCTGTGTTCACATGGACTTCCCTCTGTGCTTCCATGTGTCCTCTCCTTGTCTTCTAAGGATGCTGGTCATACTGGATTAAGACCCATTCCAATGAACTCATCCTTAATTCCTTAATAACCATCAACCCAAATATAGGCATGTTCTGAAGTTCTAGAGGTTACAAAGTCAACACAGGAATAGTATACAAGAGTATACTAACCTCCTGGAGATAGATGCCCAGGAATGGGACTGCTGGTGGAAGTTATATGCATATGTAAAATTTTAATAGCCACAGCCAGATTCCAGATCAAAGAGGCTAAATTCGTGACGTTGCAAATAGCAGTTTCTGATAATGGCTGCTTCCTTGCATCCAGCCTGGCCTGGGGATTTCTCATTCTTTATAATTTTTGCCACCCAACTGGTGTGGCTCAGTTGGTTGGACAGTGGCCCATGCACCAAAAGGTTGCCAGTTTGATTCCTGGTCTCTCTCTCTCTCCCTTCCTATCTCTCTAAAAATCAATTTAAAAAATTCTTTTACCAAGTTGATGTCAGGTTGTACAATGCAATCACAATGTTTTGATTTGCAATTGCCAGAGAAAGAGCCAGCTGTAGGCTAGAGCCAGGTTCAGCTCTGTTTCTACCACCTGTGCTAGTGCTACAGCCAGAGCCAGTATCACCTCTATCAACCCCTTCAGAGTTGGAGTGAGCACCAACCTCAGCTTTAGCCCCAGGGCCAACTCCAGAGCTGGAGCCATCTGGACCACTAACTCTAGTCTAGAGCAAATTCCATCTTTAGTTGTACCACTAACAACAGTACCAGCTCTAGCCCCAGAACCTGACTACCCTTGGGTTGTGACCACCAAGAACCTGCTGAGGGAGGAGAAGCCAACTTCTTGGAGTTTTCTCCAAGGCTGGTGGCAGAGTAGTCGACTGTGATGGATGTGGCGAGCAATGGGGCTCTTGGGGTTGGGGGTGGGGAAGGAGGTAGGGCAGGCCTTCCTCTGCTATCAACTGCCCTGACCTGCCTTTCCCTGATAGGGACTCCTGTGATCCAGGTTCAAATGCCAGCTCCATCACTTACCTATTGTGTGACCTGGGAAACTTTCTCAACTCTTAAGCCTTCACTGTCCATCTGTCGATAGTAGAGGTGGACACTAACAGGACCTGCTACACAGAGTAGCTGTCCAGATTAAATGAGGCAGATCAGACAGAAAACTAGGTGGGTCCTGGCCCTTTTGGTGGGGGAGGGGAGCTCACTGTGTGCATCCAGATGAGTCACCAACCCATCTACCCAGGAAACTCGGCAGCCTCTGAACAAACTAAGCCCGTGGTAATAGCTGCCATAGGGGAATGTACATCTGAATGAGTCAGACCAGAGAAGTGCTCAGGGTAGTGGAAGATGCCACTTGTGATGAGCAGATTTGAGCTGCCTCCTGGAGCTTGGAGTTAGTGAGGATGGGCTGTGTAAAAATGCCCCTTTCCCTTTCTTGCCATTATTGAGTCCTGAGTCATCCTGTGCTTTGTCCCCTCTGAAGACAGAGAACATTACCCAGTGATTCCCACAAGGCTCACACCATACTCTCAGCTTCCTGAGCTCCAGTTTTGGCCAGTGACACCTGTCTAAGATTCCAGGGGACTGTGGACACTGAGCTGGGGTGTGGCAGGGTTGAGTGACATACTTCTTTCTCCCCAGGAGCTGTTCAAGCTGTTCAAGGTGGTCCCCCCCGCCCCTGCCCCGGGCTCAGTATGTTCCCAGAGGAAAAAGCCTGGCAATGAGCACCTGGTGCCCACTGTTCATGCCACTATCACCCAGTTCAATAGTGTGGTCAACTGCGTCATCACCACCTTCCTTGGGAATGTGAACATGATGGCCTAGGCCAGGGCCAGGGTGGTAGAATACTGGATCAATGTGGCCAAGGTATGCTGTGGGAGGCCCAGTAGAGTTCCTATTCTGAGCCTTGAAAAATCCCTATTCTCCTGTATCAGCTCTCAGGATTGAAGTCTGTAGCCTGAGTCCCTGAAGAGTCCCTAGGCCCCCATGCCATGGGAAAGCTGACCTTGACTCTCAGGTCCCATATGTGGGAGGCTCACTTCCTCCATAGTTCCTTCATTGGGTTGAGCTAAAATCCTCCCTCTTTGGGTCCTCAGTGTGTCCTCCCTCAGCTCCCTGAGTATCTGTCCCACCCAGGAGGGGAGATGTAAACTGAGGGGGACTGAAGTTAGAGCAAACAGAGCTCCTCATTGGACAGCTCACCTCTTTTCTTCTGCAGGACTGCCAAATCTCCAGGAACCTCTCTGCACGACATCTTCTGTGCTCTGCAGAACGCCCGAGTTCACTGACTGAAGACACCATGGGGGAACATTTCCAGGTGGGTAGGCCTCTCTCCATAGGAGGACCAAGGTGGTGAGTGACCTCTCATATGTCTGCCACTGCCCCTCAGCAGCTGGGACCTCCCGGGAAGCAGCCAACCCTGGGCACAGGACTGGTCTCTAAGCCTCCCTGTGTCCTAGACCATGAGTTCTGCTTTGGGAATTAGTTTCCTTAAATGTCAGATACTGGATTGAGCAAAACTGATTTTCAATTGTTTACTTTATAGTAACAGAACTTTATGTCCAGTTGAAACTCAAACTGGTCAAAACAGAGGTGCTCAAGAGAAAAGTGAATGGAGGAGGCCCAGAGGACCAACATGAGAGTTCCTGCCCCCCTCCCACAGACACCTTTGTGCTCAGAGGAACCGCACAGACGTCCTCATCCAGGCAGTTTGAATCTTTTGGGTTCTCAAGTAAAAAGAATTTGCACTTAATCCCTTCTCCGTACATTATTCTTAAACATCTCTTTCCTACTTTCCCCTTCACTCAGGAAGTGCTCTCGGACATTTAAAAACCTGCGTAACCCTGGCCAGTTTAGCTTAGTGGTTAGTGCGTTGGCCCACAGACCAAAGAGGCACGGGTTCGATTCCTGGTCAAGGGCATGTACCTAGGTTGTAGGTTCGTTATCTAGCCCCACGTAGGAGGCAATCAATTGATGTGTCTCTCTCACATCCATGTGTGTCTCTCTCTCCCTCCCTCTCTATCTAAAATGCAATGGAAAAATATCCTAGGATGAGGATTAACAAAAACAAACAAAAAACTGTAGTGCAGACAACTCACTGAGCAGAGAACATCTCATCAAGGTAGAGTGGAGGCTGGGGGTCTGGAAAGAGGAAGGTGGAAAGGACAGGGGAACTGAGCAGGATGTGACTTTGATAGTTTGTCATTTAGCATTTCTCTGTAAAATTCCAGTCTATCTTGTCTAGATTAACAGGAACAGGGATTTGTTTGGTCTACAGGCAGGTGGGGAGCAGTTTGAGGGGCAAAAGGCTTTGGTCATGGCGTAACGTGGTAGGCTGTTTCAGGAGGGGGTGCTGAAGGGCAGATTTAGCTGGTCTCTGGCTTCCATACTAGTCCATTGTGCTGGCACTTAGCTGCTTCTAGGCTATGAGTAGGGTGGGTGGGATACCTTTCTTCCCTAAACCAGCCACCCTGTTCTCAGGAAGCTAGGCCCCTGCTGCTCCTTATGTCTTTACCACATCTCCAAAGAGAGGGTAGCTTGCTTGCCCCAGGGATGGGTTCTGCAGGGGATTCCCACAGGCCAGGTGAAGAAAGGTCTTCTTGGCCTTGGATCCAAATTGCTGTCCCAGAGACAAATATTGTATACTCTGTGACTCCCCACTGTGCCCCTATAGCAGTCATTGCTAGTCAGTCATAGTCAGGATTCTCACGTGGATGCCTCGTTGGCAGAACATGTGCCCTAGGTGGCTTGTGAGAGTGTCTGGGGGACTGATGGATTCATCCGGAGTGGACTTCAGAAGCCTCATGTAAACGAAGAAGCAAACTCTCCTGTGATAAAAATTAACTGGAACTTGAAGCAAACACAGTCAGTAGGGAGGGTCTGTGGGGGAGGTAGAATTTATGGAAGTTCTTGTACTCTATGTAATCTCGAGAATCCTGCACACTTAGAACCCCACAGGAAGAACTCTAATTTTATAATAAAGCTCTATGGTTCCAATCCTTTTCCTTTAACTTCCTCCATTTCAGCACGCAGGCCAAACTGTACACGTGGCTTCCATGTCTGCATAAACTGAGCTGCAACCCTTTCTTTCCCCTGAGTAAATCCTTTCTGGTGATAAAACACCTAGTTGATATTATTTTTTAGTTGATACCTATCACCTTCTACCCTGTCAGTCAGATGTGGCACCTTGGGGGTCCCATTCCTGAGTGAATGAAGAAACTGCTGTGTAAGAGAATGTCCTGAGACATTTGTTGTAAATAGTAAATGCTAGATTTGAACATTATTAAAATCCTGTTTCTTGTATGCCCTGTGAGTTGTGGTTTGGTTCTTTCAGTTTCTATGCTAATTTTTTTCTTTTTTTTTAATCCTCACCCGAGGACATTTTTCCATTTTTTGTTCAGATAGAGTGGGAGGGAGGAGGGGGGAGAGAGAGAGAGAGAGAGAGAGAAACATCGATGTGAAAGGGACACATTGAATGGCTGCCACCCACACAACCAACCAGGGCTGTGGACAAACTGCAACCGAGGTACGTGCCCTTAGTGGGAACTGAACCCGGGTCTCTCTGGACCACAGGCTGACGCTCTAACCGCTGAGCCAAATCGGCCAGGGCTCTATGCTAATTTTAATGAGGTATAGCCTCCCTCATTCCTCCTGGAAATCTTTCAGCATCATCAGCTTATTGAGAGAAGGGTGAAAGTCTAGAACCTCCCCCTTCCTCAGAGGACAGGTTTATTTCAGTATTGTGGGCCTGAGCAAGGAGCAGAAACAGCCCCTCAGAACTCATAGGATTTCAAAGTCGAAGGTACTTTCACAGCCATAGCAACACCACTGAAATTGTGTCCTATGGCTTTCTTTTAAAATATTATTTAACTGTACATGTAAGGGTTTATTTCTGGGCATTTGATTCTGTTCCATTGGTCTATGTGTCCGGTTTTATCCAGTAGACATGTGTGGATTTAGAAATGATTGGGTTTAGCAACCTGCCAGCTCCCAGGTACAGCTTTCCTAAGGGCTGGTGAGACCCTCCTGGGACTAGTTGGATCCTTCATTCTATCTCAGTGGGCAGCAGTAAACAATCAGGTCTCAGACAGGACAGACCTTGGCCTCCAAGCATCTAGGCAAGCATCTGCGGCCCTCCAGCTCAGGCCAGCCTGGGCTCTGTTAACCCCCATGGTCAATCACTGAGCTGACCGTGTGCTCAGCAATTGAACAACTGCCTGGCAGCATAGATAGCCCCTTGGGATGTTTGAATTTCCAACATTTGTGTGATTGAGACAAGTGCCTCCTCCTTCACAGCCTTTTACCTTGCCAAGCTAGGTAATAACCCTGCAAAGGTTGACTGTGGCCCTGGCCAGAACAATCATACATCAGACCATGGCCCAGCAATCCTTTGGCCTTCCAGTTGTAACAAACCTTTGACATTCATACTCATTGAGAATCAAAGATATGTGAGCAACTGTGTCTCCAAAGGGCAATTTCACACTGAGGCCACATGGTCTCAGAGAGCTACGTTTGTCCATGGCTGCACACCTTTGGCCTCTGGAAAGCCAGTCCATTGTGGATTCCACGTTGTAGAATAATTCTTGAGCCTCCCACTGCTTCAGTGAGCAAGAATTTCCTTACCACCCTAGCATTTGTCTCAGCTCTTTGTAAAGGAGAGAGAAAAGACAGGAAAAAGAGCCAGTTTGTTTTCTGGGAATGACTGATTAATGTGGCCAGGGGGCAGGCATGACTCCTGGGCTCCCACCTCCCAGGGACACAAATGAGGTCTGTGTGCCTCTAAGGGCACATGGGCAGTTCTGGGTCAATCTCTGAAATGCGAGTACCTGATGCTCAAGGCAGGAGCTTTGAGATTATCACCAACAGCAACGTTGCTTTTTCAGTAAGTGGAAGAGCTTCTTGCCTTTGTGAGAGGACAGCAAGAAAACTCAATGGGTGGCTGCAGCTCCTGACCCTAAGTGACCTCTTGCTTCTGAGGGCTTCCGATTCTGTAGCTATGCAGTGGGACCCACCATCTGTTCTCACAACCACGTCTAGCACCTCATCTTTTCTTTGGGAACTCATCTCACCTGCTTCCAGTCCAAATGGTTCCAGAGGGCTTACCCCATGTCTAGCCAATCCCATGTTCCATCCTCTGGGTGCTCTGATGGGTTCAAGGATGAGAATGTGACCTAAGCCAGGCCACAGGCATTTAAAGCTGTGGCTTTTCGTGAAGCTCAAGGGAAGGAGAAACTTTCCTCAGTAGAATGGATAATGAGTCAGTATTGGTCTGGAGTTGTTGGAAGCCCTGGATGCAGTGAGAGAGACTGTCTGTGAATGGGGCCAACCAAAGGCACTAGGTCCCACTGGGAGAATGTTAGTCCTTGCCTCTTGCATTTAATGCCGCTGCCATTAAAAAATTATTAATTTGCCCCAGCAGGTATGACTTAATTGGTTGGGCATCATCCCATTCACTGAAAGGTCATTGGTTTGATTCCTGGTCGGGGCACACGGCTGGGTTGCGAGCTTGATCCCCAGTAGGGGGTGTGCAGGAGGCAGCTGATTGATGTTTTGCTCTTACATTGATGTTTCTTTATCTCCCTCTCCCTTTCTTTCTCTCTAAAAATCAATAAAAATATCTTTAAAATTATTAATTTATTTTACTTCAGTGTGTCCAGTTTCTTGCAATAAAAATGTCCTAGCTGACACATCAGAATATATAATCCTTAAGACTCTCTTTGCATGGTGTCCTTACTGGGCTTGGCATGGCTGAGGGAGATGAAGATACTGGGTGGGGTCAGATTTCAGGGGAGCTGCCAAACAGCTCTGTTCTTGTTCCTTCCCTGTCCTGTGTTAAACAAACAAATAAAAAGTTTAACTTCCACGACTGAAAGTATTCTGGTAAGTATGATTTTACTGAGCCAAAATGTGAGCTAAAATTAAGACCAGTCTTGGGGCATGGAGTCTAAGCCACCAGCAGTATGGCTGGGTAGAAAACACATGTCCATCATCCCAGAGTTTTGTAAGCATTTTTATTATTTTATTTTATTTTATCCTCACCTGAGAACATTTGTGCATTTATCTTCAGATAGAGCAGGAGGCAGAGAGAGAGAAGCATTGATGTGAGACAGACACATCGAGTGGTCACCACCCACATGACCCCAACTGGGGCTGGGGACAAACGGCAACCGAGGTACATGCTCTTAGTGGGAACCAAACCCGGGACTCCCTGGACCGCAGGCTGATGCTCTAACTGCTGAGCCTAATGGGCCAGGGCTGTAAGCATTTTTATACGTAAAGTAGGGGGAAGGGGAAAGAAAGAGGTATTCTGAAAGGATTTACCTTAGCTCTAGGTAAGGGGTGGGAGAAGGTGACCTGGGGCCAGCATGAAGAAACATATGCTCCTATAGATTGGCTGTGGGCAGCAGTCTGGAAAGCCCATGTGTGAACAAGTGGAAGTACTTGGAGTTCAACGGTGCCTGGCTAAAATCACCTGCGGAGTTCTGGCCGGTGTGCCTCAATTGCTTGGAGTGTTGTCCCATACACTGAAAGGCTGTGAGTTCAATTCTTATTTAGGGCATGTGCCTAGGTTGCAGGTTTGATCCCTGGTCAGGCATGTATGGAAGGCAACCAGTTGATGTTCTCTTTCACATCAATGTTTCTCTTTCTCTCTCTCCGATCAATAAGCATATCCTCAGGT